ATCAATCGGTTTTTAGCCGAACCGGAGCGAACTCAAGTCGGCTTCGACCTCTGATAAAAACACTGTTTCAAGACTTTTAAATGCGATTCCCGAAAATAAAACAATGGACCGAGCTAATAAAACAAACTCTCTACGATGTCTAGTTAAAAAGTTTTTCTCCGCCCGAACGAACGAACGAACAAGGCGAATTATTAAGCTACCTTTTTGAAACAAGTTTGCGCTAAAAAATGGAATAGCGAGTTATTGCAAAAGATGTGACTTCTAAGGGAATTGAATGGGAATTTTGGCGAGCAAAAGCTTCTCACATGAGTGAATCTATGGAACTTACATGAGTGGTTTATTAAAAAGAATACATTAGGTAGATTTCAATACAATGGAGTACTCAATGTTAATTTCTTTGCTGATGAGCAGAAATCGGCAGTGAAGGTTAACTTCAGAACAAAACTATTTATGAGGGAGCTAGCAAACAAATATCAAAAGAATTTCAGACAAGTTTGAATAGTCAGCTGTTGGTGCTAACAAAAACAATAAATGAATATGAGACAACATGGGATAATAGCGAAGCTGAATTGATACAAACGCTGGAGTTTCAACACGGACACAGTTTCATTAGTAACAGCTAGAGTATATCTAAAATCGACTTTGTCTTGGATCTATAATTAGCAACAACTCTGAGGAAGAATCTCATCCCCATATATATAATAAAATCTTAAATCTCACTTGAACGTATGGCTTGTCTAGTTGCATTTAGCGATCAATTCAAATAATCATAGGAAATGTAGGTTGGAGCGTTAACGCCATAAGATGCGTGCGAAATACAAAACAAAGTAAAATCCGTAAATGAAATCAAAAATTAAGAGACAAAAGGCAAATTGAATGCCTGAAACCTTAAAAACAAAAAGCAACAAAATGTATAGAAACTTTGTACATACTTAAATTTAAATGTAAATAGAATAGAATAGAATGTAATGTAGGGTTTTGCTAATAGCAAAAGCGGCACTGCGATCGATGATCTGTTGTACCATCCCAAGTCCCCTATGTTAGAATTCCGATGTCCTTAATGAAGCCAATAATGTCCTGATAATGCTGCTTATTTATATCCTCATCATTCAAGTAGTCCTCATCAAAATGCTTGACACATTGTACTCGTAATGCTCTGCATTTACAAAGAATATGAGTGATTGTTTCCTCATTTACCTTACAAAACCTGCAAATTTTACTGTTAGACAAATTCAATTTAAAAAGAAAACTATTGATACTCATGTGTCCTGTCAAAGCACCAATTAAGATGCTAAGATCTTTCCTTGGTAGTCTGAGAGCATCAGATATTTTGTTCTTATTTTTAGGACCAAGAAGTCTTTTGGCTGTCATGGCTCCTTCCTCTAAATTCCAGATACGAAAATGCTGTCTCTCCATCCATTCTCGTATGTTTGACTTCAACAAGCCAAACCCATAGTACGTCGACTTGTCATAATCTTCCTTGTGTACTGCTTCTTTAGCTAATTGATCAGCTATTTCATTACCTTCAATACCACTGTGTCCAGGTATCCACTTTAGGATGACTTCATTTTCTTGCCCCAATGCTGTTAAACAAGAAATACAATCAAAAACTGTTAAAGACTTCACAACACAATTGTTTAAAGCCGTCAAAGCTGATCGACAATCTGAAAGAAAGCAAATTCTACAGCCTTTCAAATCCATATCCAAACAGTAATTAGCACCCACACAAATAGCTTGAACTTCTGCCTGAAAGACAGAAGCATGATCTTGCAGTTTGTAGGATGAATTCAAACTCAGCTCATTGCTGAACAGACCGATGCCAACACCACTTTCTGACTTTGATGCATCAGTGTATACAGACATACAATTCCTATCCACCAAATCACAAGATTCAGCAGCATTATCTTCTGATTCAACTACCTTAAAAGGTTTGCCAAAAACGTATTTTGACACTAAATGATCTGATTCAAAGGTGAATAAACATACACTTCTTAGAAACCGATTTAATTCCATGTGACCAGTTGAGATCCAGTCATTAACCCACAATTTATTAACCTTCAATTTGGATGCGCTTGTTTGAGCTGCAGCTTCGATTCTGACTCGAAGTGGGGGAAGCTCAAGGAATCTATCCAAAGCCAGTTTCGGAGTAGTTTTCCAAGCACCGCAAATTGACAATTCTGCTATTCTTTGCAGTTTCTCAATTTTCTGAGAGGCAAAAACTTGTTTCATTTTATGCCACCAAACAACACATCCATACATAATTCTTGGTAGAATAACTTGCTCATACAGCCAATACATCATATTGGGTTTTAATCCCCAGTTTTTACCAACAATTGATCTACAAGCCCAAAAGGACTTAATCACCTTACTTACAACGAAATCTACATGCAAATTCCAGTTTAATTTGCTGTCTAGGTAGACACCAAGATACTTTGCTTCATAACTGAATTCTATCCTTTGACCATACATAACTGGAGGACGTAGCTCACCTAATTTATGCTTCGTACTGAAAGGAATTACAATTGTTTTGGCTGGATTTACTGATAAACAAACTTTATCACAAAAACCTTCCACAATGTTTAAAGACCTCTGAAAAACATCTAACACTGTGTTAGTAAATTTACCTTTTACTAAAATAAAAATATCATCAGCATAACCTTGAGCAAAGATGCCCCCTGAACCATTTAGATCTACTAATAAATCATCAATAACCAATGACCACAACAGGCAAGACAAGTTTCCGTTTTGTGTTGTACCACGTTTCACTATGATGAACACAACTTCACCGTTTAATGATGCGTGAACGATTCTCGATCTAAGCATGTTGCTGATCCACTGTATCATTCTTTGTGGAACTCCTCTACGATATAAGGCATTTGTGATAACATCGAAACCAGTGTTGTCGAAAGCACCTTCAATATCAATGAGGCCTCCCACCATAAATTTCTTGTCGAAGAAACCCTTTTCAATTCTAGAAACAATACTATGTAAGGCAGCATCTGTCGATTTACTAGATTGATAAGCAAACTGGTACTTAGACAAAGGACACAAGGTCAATCACATCCTGTCTAATGCTGTTGCTGAAAGTAGGTTCATTACCTTCATTCAAAACAATCAATTCCTTAATAAGCAGAAATTCCATTAGGCTCTCCCCTCTTTTGTTTGTATCGCTGCTACCCCACACCACATTGTGTGCATTAGCATCGCAACCAACAATTAGATTCAAGCCACTTTTGTTACAATAATCAACCAAATTTATGATGTTATGACTTGGTGGGTCATATACCGAATCATAAGGAAAATACCCACTACAGAAAATAATGTCAACAAAATTGCCGTTCTCATCTTTTAATGAGACCTTAACCGTGACTTCATCGGTGTCGGTGAATTGAGGCAGTACAAAATACTTTAAACTCTGATTTACTAAAATACAAGATCTTACCTTACCATTGTTTTGTTGATACAAAATAATTCCATTTTGAGTGTTGATGCACACTACATTATTCTTCATATAAGGTTCTTGAATAAGAACTATATCAAATAAACCCTTATCAAAATTTTTACCAATTTCTAAGGCTGCAGCTTTTGGGTGCTGCAAATTAGCCTGATAGACTTTCATGCTAGCTCAATAAAACCCCTAGAAATGTAAATAAATAAATAAAAAGTTTAATTTAAAAAAAAATAGGGAATGTAGGTTGAAGCGTTAACGCCATAAGATGCGTGCGAGATCCAACTAAAATGTGACTGAAGGTAAACTCTACTAGTCAGAATTTAAGTTTTCAGAAATGTTTAAGATCTGCAGCATCGCGTTTCACATTCAAAGAAGTGAATTACTTTAATTGAAAAAAAAGATTCAGAATTGAACGAATTCCAAAAAAAGTATATAATCCCTCATATATCGTATCCTTTCAGTTACATTATATGGTTCATGACTTACTGTTAAACTGTTGAGACCAGGTGTGATATTGTGCAAGCCGATCCTTAAGTTTTGAGTGAAGTTTGACATTTGATTCAATGAAATCTTTACCGCAGACAATATCTTGAAATAATACTTAATGCGCATTACATTTGAGTACGCACTCTTGTTGAACTTGTCTTGACTGTCATCTAGATTGTTCATCCTTTTGATAAAGTCATCTTGTGGCTGACATCGTTATTTATTTTCCTTGAATTGTTGTGTGCGAAAAAAAATTCTGTAAATTTTTGAAAGTGTGAAAAATTTTAACAGGTTGCTGGGTTTTATTTTTGCATGTTTCAAAATTCAAATTGTAGGTTTTTTTGCTGAAGTTTCATGCATTTACTGCCCAAAAGTTCTTTTATTGAAGTAAATGTGGAAGTCAATTAATTAAGAGTGAGTTTTAAATAAATGAAATCAATTTTTAGCTCGATTTAATCTAATTATGATACGATACATGACATCAAAACAGAAGGAATTAATGAAAACACGACTTATGTAGAAAGCCACGAACTTCCACGCTTGACTTACGATAGAAAACATAAAAGCTACCTCATAGTACATAGGGGCCGTTCACTTATTACGTTACGCAAAAAACAAAAAAAACGACTTTTTTCACCCCCCCCCCCCCTCTTCCTTGTTACAATATGTTACAATTCACAAGCCAATAAGGCTAGATAAAAATATTTCGTTTATTTTATTTGATTAAGAAACATTTGCACAAATTACTGACCAAGTTTGAACAATTTTCGTTAAGCCTTGTCAGATTTACAGTCGAAAGTGTTAAAAGTAAAAAATCGGCCCTAGCTCCGTTTTCAGATGCTCATATTCACAAAATAGCACAATAAACCCATATATAGTCCATCACTCAGTTCGTTAGGTCACCGTTCTACTTGATGGACACGAGTTTTTGAGCAAAGCTGTATAGTTTATGTTATTTGTTACGAAGCTTGTATTGGACCCATCGAATCGATAAATCCTTCTTGCTCTTCTGAAAAACAAAATTCCAATGAAGTTGATAGACAATTCAAAAGATTTAAAAAAATTCTCAGTTCATCAATTGTTTTTATTTTTTCTATTATGATAAATTAGAAAGGAATTATGACTAAAATTATTTTTAATTCTAGATAATTAAATATTAAAATAGGTATTTAATACTAAAGTAAATAAATATTATAGTTCCTATAAAATAAAAAAAAATATTTATTTTTATGAGCAGCCACAAGATTCCACAATCATATTTGGTAGTGTCACTTGAGTTGCAGTGTTATTAGAATCGAGGTAAAATATTTGTAATGAAGAATATCGAGTTGCTGTGCAGCACGGTACTAATTCTAGTTTTTTTTGACTGTTTTTAGAAGAATGGTGAAGAAATTTCTGAAAATGAGACATATTGTTACAAATAGCAATTTCACACATTTTACTGTTAAAACGTGGCAAAATTCAGTATTGAATTTCTAAACTTGGTAAAATTTGCTTAATAAAATATTTTTGTTGACTCAAACTTATTTAGATTTTTGTAGTTTTGTAATACTCACGTTAAATATTGTGCTATGATGTGTTCCAGCTTGAGTGATGGAAGCAACACGATTGCAAGATCCCCGACAGAAATAAGCATTATATCCTTTTGGATGTATTATCCAATCATTCCAACCAATTGTTGCAAAATCAATATATAATGAATCTCTGCAGCACTCTGTTGATGAAAGTCCACAGTTTACATTTCTTCGTTGGCGATTTAAAGTTCGTTTTGGAAAAGTATTAATTACAATAAACGGCTTATGATCTTGATGTTGTGAGATTGGAATTGATTCTGTTTTGCATGATTCACAAGCTACTTGAATTGAGGGATTTAAGTTTTGTTGTTCCAACCACAGTTTGAGGGATGATGTTAAATCGATTTTTTCCCAAGAAGCTAATCCATCCTGCCCGAATTGAGAAATCGCCAAGGTTTTCGATTTAATAGTTTTTTTACTTGTTCCCAAAAGCTCAACTTCTGATAAGAGAAAAGTATGATTCATCCTACGATTCAAGTTATCTGTAAAAAATTTAAACAGGAAAATAAATAAATATATTTTTGTGTGAGAATTTAAAAAAACGTGACGTTAACGTGCTGATTGTCTTTATTATTTCGTTTAAAATGTTATCAACTAATTGGCAGAACAAATTTGACATACACAACAACAAAAAACTTATCAATATATATATATATATATATATATATATACATATATTTAATGGTTAATTGAACAAATTAATTTTTTACTTACTTGGTTCCAAATAGATCCACAATTCGGCTGATTCAATAATATTAACGTCCAAATCTTCCGAAATGTTGAGCATAAAACATATGCATGGATATTCATGAGATTTGCATTTTTCAAAGTCTATTTAAGTTTAAAAACGATTTGAAACTTATTAATTAGAATTGAGGTTAAAAAAATCATTAGATCATACCTTGCGTTAAAAATATGATCTTTTGTGTAGTTTTTGCAAAATAATCATCAAGTTGACGATTTAGATAATCAGTATCATCATCATTTTGAATAGCAAAACCTTCTTGAATGGGTTCTGGTAAATCATCAAATGATTTTTTTGGTGGTCTTTCGTCCATTCTCAGTTTGTGTAAAATTTGATTTTTAACATATTCAATTCGTAAGCTAGTTAATTCATCTTCGCTCATTTTAACACTATTTTTTGAACATTTTGGACATTTTAAAGGTCCCATTTTCAGTAATTCATCATTTTGCGAATTATTTGAATTTTTAATAAAAATTTCACTACTAATTACTTCATCAGTTGAACTGTTTTGCTGATTGTAACTAATAGAATTTTCTGCTAGTAATGTCCAAATATTTGGAGGGAGTGTTCGTCTATATTGATCACTCAATTCCTTCTTGTTAATATTTTGGATAGGCTTTTTATGTATTTTCAATATGTTAACTTTAGAATGGTGGTATTTAAATTTATTATAGTTAATTTCAGCTGAGGTTGTAAACACTAATCCGAGTATCACAATAAATAATATCAAAATAAAATAATTTTGACAGTGTGATTCCAATTGATTAGTTTTCATTTTTGTGAGAATTTAAATATCAGTTCGAAACGATGAAAATAAATCAATGAATTTTCAATATTTTTTCCAAATCTCTCCTTCCTAAAGCTTTCTTGTTATATAGATTTGAAAAATAGTCAAACTTATTTGCTCTTCACTTTAAGAACTATCTTTGACTAAATCCTTCGCAACAGTATGAAGATTTTTACCATATTTTATCTTTTAAGTCATCCACATGCAATGGGGGCTTAATTCACCTAATTTTCACAAATTCATCAAAATGTCAGTTTATTTTTAATTCAATTATGAGATTATAGTAGAATTGTTTAATTGAAACCATCATATTATTTTCTTATGAACAAAAAATTCCTTTACACTTTTAAAACTTTAGCTTGTTGAAGTATCACTATTCACAATCATTTCATAAGCCATAGAATTTCAAATAAAAAATATAATTTTTTTGAAGGGCTGTTGCAAAAATTTTATTTTTTTACGTCTTCAGACTTCAACGAATTAAACTTGAATGAATTGGATTGAAAGTGGGAATGATATTTTATACACATAGGCATATCAGAAGAGAAAAAAAAACTGTTTATGTATGCACATTTTTGACGCGTGGTCTTCGGTGATCTATAAAGGAAGAAATTGTTAGATCTAGAGAAGAAAATAAATGCTTATGAGCAAATATTATAAACAAATAGAAATATTAAGAGATGTAAATTGATAAATTATATTTTCGATTTAACAAATCTATAAGAATGAATTTTTTGCAAATATGTTGTATGCAACACTTAATTTCTTGTTATGCATAAGTAAAACTATTAAATGATGCAATAATTTTCTGCTATTACTGCTATATCGTGTACACAGGTGAAATAAAAATTTGAGAACAAGCACAACTGATAAATGAGAATTCACAACCTGTATGATGTAAAATTTTTAGTTTTTAACTCAATCTTGTTTTTACAAAAAAAATCACTGTTCAACTCTTATAGTATTCTTTGACTATCGTATTTTGATGTTTCCTTTATGTATTTTATAATATTTATAAATAACATATTTTCAGGCACGAGGTTTTCACGTGATATCGTTGAACAAAAAAAAAACATAAAAAATGTGTACGATTGCTTTCATTTATCTGTTGGGGTTCTCAATAATTGCAGGTGGTGACAATTTAAATCATTACTACCCCTAATATTTTAGACTTATTTCTAGTTTTATTATTCTATTTTCAAGATTTTTTTTAAACTTTCCTCTTCTAGTTCGAAATGTTAATATTAAAACAAATTGATAGTTTTACTATTCCATTATAATGTCATTTCATTAAAAATTAAATTATAATAGCGAATAGACAGCAAGCATTTAAAGAAGTTCAAAAGAAGTGTGTGCAAATGTGATGCAATAATTTTTAAAACTTTTTAAATTCTTTTGAGTTATTTTGTTAAAACTACACTTTTGAATAGAATAAAACGTAATGTAGAGTTTTGCTTAGAGCAAAAATGGCACTGCGATCGATGATCTGTTGTACTATCCCAAGTCCTCTATGATAGAATTCATATGTTCTTGAAGCCAATAATGTCCTGATAATGCTTACTTATATCTTTACATTTATATAATCCTCATCAAAGTTCTTGACGCGTCAAACTCGTAATAACCTATATTTACAAAGAATATTTACATATGAATGATTGTTTTCTCATTCACCTTACAAAACCTGCAAAATTGAGTCATATTTTAGTCTTTTCTTAGAAAATTTTTTTTAGTACCTCCGTCGCAAAAACCGTGCACATAGCACGACTTTTGGTAGCATTTAAAAAACGGACTCGTTAATCCGTGTCAGGGCAATAATTAGCACTTTAGGGGGCCACTATTTATAAATTCTCAATTTTCATGCAAAAAATTAAAAAAATTCATCTTGAATATATTAAGGCAATGATTATTTTTCAAGACAAAAAAGTGGAAATGTTAAAGAGGCTTATAGAAGTAGTTAAAAAAATAGAATTTAATTTGTCGAAACACAATTTATTCATGATTACAGAAATTTAGGATTTAAAGATTCTAACAACACGAACAATGTATGATCTGCAAATAGGACATTCATTTAAAACTTTGCCACAACAAATACAGGAGACCGAATGACCACAATTTAAGAAAACACATTCAATCGGTGCATCCATACATATTTTGCATAAGTCATTTGTTGATAGTCTATCAGAAGCTACAAAAGATATTTATAAAATAAATAAATAAATAAAACTTGTTAAAAACTTTGGAAGCTTACAAGGTGCATTCGAATAATTTTCCCAGAGTCTTTGAACTCTTTCTTTGAGTTCGTTTTTCTCGCAACAGCCTTTAAAATCAACTCTGTTTAGTGCTAGTAATTCTTTTAACTGCTTGACAGACAAATGATCTAAATCAGAGCTGTATATAAAAAAAAATATAATAAAGTAAATTTTGTTAGCATTTTTTATTTCATTTTAATTTATTGAAAAACAAACCTTGATTGTAAATCTTCAAGAGTTATGAAACGCTTTGAAATATCGAAGGAACAACACGGCTGAGTAATACTTTCTTCATTTAATGAAGCTTCAGTATTTTCAGAACTATTAAATTTTTGCTCCACGGATGTGGACGAACCAGTAGGTACCAAAACATCATTGCTTACTACTTCTGTAGATTTTGTATCCAAGTAGTCAATAAACTGTTTTATTTTTGCACTGATTTCATTTTCCGTGTAATGTGAAGACTTCAGCTGTTCATTTAATATGACAATTTCTTCTGTTATTTTTGATTTATATTTTCCACATTTTTTACATAAAACTTTAAAGTTGACAATGGGTCCAAGATGAAAATTTGAAGTTGTTGAAATGTCGACATTATCAAATGATTTTTTAAGGTTTAAAAGTGAGCTGTCTGACTTTCGACGAATTGTTTCGACTAAATTTCCACACGAGCTTCTATTATTATTATCACTTTTTTGATTTTGATTAACTGTTTCGTTTAAATTAAATTGAATACTTTTATTATATATAGTATTACCCAATTCATTCAAGTTCTCGTTTTCAATGAATTGCCAGTCGTCATCAAATTGTCGAGTAGATGCAACAACTTCTTCAAATGATGAATCACTCGTTGTGTCCTCTATCTTTGCTTTTTTAGCATTATTACATAAATCACTGTTTTTTTCATTAAAAATACTTTGACGTTTTTTGGAAATTTCTTCGAAAGCTTCATCAGAACAGCATTCGCAGTTTATATTTTGAATATCATATAAATGTGGAATGTACGAAGCGTTTTCAAACGGCAAAACCTGAGCCATTTCTCTTGAAGAAGTAGATGCTCCACAATTTAGAGGATTTATGTTGTTAACTTGTGATATATTAGAGCCACTAGCTTTGGGTTGCTGGGTTGTTACATTTTCCTTCTTGGACTGTGAAGCTTGATTAAAGCATGTCGTTTTTTGTAAATCTAAAATTGATCGAACACATTAAATTTTGATTAAAGGATTATTATTATTATGTTATCACCTGTAGCAATTTTGTCCGTGATAGTCGTGAAGAAACTTTGACAAGTCTGTTTAATTTGATGGGAATAGTTTTCAAAATCTAAAGGAGATTTCATAATATCTTCATAATATGAACTTGAGTTTACATGAATTGTGATTAAATTGCACAATTCCTCCTTCTCGACAACTCCAGAAATATTAACTTTGCGTGACTGAAGAAAGAATATCAAGTCCTGTTTGAAAGACATAATTTTTTTTTTATTCATAATTATTTATAATAAATTTTAACCAATATGTTCATCATTTACCTTTGTTTTTAAAAGCATTAACTCATTTTTGGAGGACGAAATAAGAATAATTTCACAGCGAATACAGAAATTTTTCTTACGTTTTCCTAAACAGTTTCCACAATAATAAAAATGACATGAAACGCACGAACGCTTTCTTTTAAAAAGATTAAATTGCAACTTGCACAAATTACACGGCATCTTTTGAATTTTTAATATTAAAAATTAAAAATTCTTTGTCGACTTTTAAAAGTTATTTATGTCATCACAAAAATTTTCACCAAAATCTCATATTTCTTATGTTTTATAATCAAATTAGTTAAGTTCGTCAAAATAAATACTTTATTTTATGATTAGCTTTGCAAAAACTATACTTTACAACTTTCTATTTTTATTATTTATCATTAATTTATTAATATCAATAAATTTTTTCTATTCCTTTTTTACCAGAGATCGAAGCCGATTTTTTCAGCTTAACTCAATTTTTGATTTTTTTGATAGAAAAAAGCCATTTGACACCCATTTCAAGTATTTAAATTGAACTTTACTTGCTTTACTATGATTCTGTGTAATATTTTGTCAGCATGTAGCTATAGTGAGCTCAGAATTTCAAATAAGCTGATGTTAAGCCGATTCTCAAACTTGAAATTCTGAGCTCACTATAGCTACATGCTGACAAAATATTACACAGAATTGTAGTAAAGCATGTAAAGTTCAATTTAAATACTTGAAATGGGTGTCATATGGCTTTTTTCTATAAAAAAAAAATCAAAAATTGAGTTAAGCCGAAAAAATCGGCTTCGATCTCTGTTTTTTACTTTTTTATTTTTGAATTTCATTTAACCGTTTTAACTTTTTAGAGGAATTACCGATTTAAGTCGAAAGATTATTATTATTTTTATATTCACACCGTTTTCACGTGTGAATCTATTGGTTTTGTTCAGATTGAAAAATCAGTTTTTCGCATTTTGTGAGAAAACGAAGCAAAATTGGTTATAAAAGGTCCCAAAAGAAAAGTGTGTGCCTGAAATTTTACATCATTTGCAAAAACCAGATTTCAAATTGGTTGCGGCATTGCTGAGAAAATCGCAAAAAACGCTTTCTGTAAGCAAGCAAACAAGCATGCAAGTTAATCAGCATGAAATCTCAATAAAGTGACATCGTAGAGACTTCTAGTTTTTTACATTTGATCCGTGGTGCTCTATCCCGAATAGACAAAGAGCACGCTATGAGCGCGCTCAAATTTAGTGCTGAGCATGCTCGCGTGAGCTTGCTCTTTCATACAAAAAGTGATGCCACTACTTTACGCTGATGAACACTCTTTTTGAGCACGCTCTGAGCACGTTATTTTAACAAATTTTGAGCATGCTCAAATTGTTGTGTGACATGCAACATTTTTTATGTCATATGATGTGACATTTAAGTACACTCAGTGAGTATGCTCGTGAGTGTAATCTGAACATGCTCGCTGAGTGTACTCACATTATATAATAACTAGTGTATTAGGGCCCGTTACGGGCCCGGTTTATTTAACCTAAGAACATGAGACTATCTATAGATCAGAACTTTATATTTCAACTCTTTTTTCATGAAACTTTTTTCATGGCAATAATGATCAAACCCTCCATGCAAAACGTATAATAAGTTTTTAAAATCAGAAGCCCTTCATTTCTAAAATAAAGTATATTGTCAATTTACAAAACCGTATAGTTCCTTTTTACAATCATTGTCTAAATCACTCATGTTAACGAAAAACATAATTGGAATTGAAAATTGTCAAAAAAATTGAAATATTTAATGACTCGATATTTATAGTAAAAAAACTTCACATGGCTTCACAAAACTTCCCCCTGACACCCACCTTGTCAACATCTCCCAAATTATTGGCTTCACAAAGATTCACATGGCTTCACATGGCTTCACAAAACTTCACATGCTTCACATGACTTCACAAATGGCTTCACATGACTTCACATGCTTCACATGACTTCACATACTTCACATGACTTCACATACTTCACATGCTTCACATGACTTCACATGCTTCACATGACTTCACATGACTTCACATGCTTCACATGACTTCACATACTTCACATGACTTCACATGCTTCACATGACTTCACATGACTTCACATGCTTCACATGACTTCACAAATGGCTTCACATGACTTCACATGCTTCACATGACTTCACATACTTCGCATGCTTCACATGCTTCACATGCTTCACATGCTTCACATGACTTCACAAATGGCTTCACATGACTTCACATGCTTCACATGACTTCACATACTTCGCATGCTTCACATGCTTCACATGCTTCACATGCTTCACATGCTTCACATGCTTCACATGACTTCACAAATGGCTTCACATGACTTCACATGCTTCACATGACTTTACATACTTCGCATGCTTCACAAATGGCTTCACATACTTCGCATACTTCACATGACTTCACATGCTTCGCATACTTCACATGACTTCACCAAGCTTCACAGTTAAATTATTTTTTAACAATTTTTTTGAAATATTTTGCTGTTGTAAGGTTTTTTAATGTTCTAGAATAAATTTTGTTCATTACTAATCTGAAAAAGACCTTAAAAGAAAATTTTGGATTTTACCTGGATTTGAACTCACGACCGCTCTGTTGTTAAGGCCATTGCCGTAACCATTACAACACTGCTGCAATTTATTTATGTAATTTAATATGGCAAAAACTCATATTTAAACTTTGACTTGAAAAGTATATAAAAAATTATGAGCATACTCAGAGTATGCTCAATATGTGTGCTCTTGAGCACGCTCAATAAAATGTGAAATTTAAAAAAAAAATGTTTTTAGAGCATATTCACAATGTGCTCACGAGTATGCTTAAGAGTGTACTCGAGTGAGCATGCTTAAATATAGGAATTGAGTATGCTCACGAGCATACTTTGCTCATTATATGCATCATAATGAGTACTGTTTTATTTTTGATTTTTCAATGAAACACGTCTTTATGTTTTTGTTCGAGATATTCAACTGATTTATTGTTTTTCTCTGATTACTCAGATCATTATTTTACATCTCCCTTCTCTTATCAATTCCCATATCTTTGTACTGGTTTAGGAATTCTTGATGATCGTCGGAACGGTTGTTGGTTCGAATTACTCTCTGTTGAGGTTGCAGTTGGTTGGTGATGAACGGGAGATGCGGCATTTGCATTAGAAATCAGAGGAGGTTCATGCAGTGAATTGTCAGCGAAGAAGTTATCGAGATTGATTCTGTATCGACTAGACTCATTGCATTTCTTTTGATCAATTTGATTGGATACTGTTGACCTATCAGCTCGAATGAATTTAGAATTTCGTCTAATAACCCTATTATTATCCATACAAATCTCATATGATCTAGGCTCTGAACATTTCTTAACGACTGATCCTTTAGACCAAGTGTTATCAGGCAATTGTATTCACACCTTCTGATTTAAATCGAACTCATTACGTTTATATGAATTTCGATTATAATAAACTTTGGTTTTAGTTTGCTTCTTTTCGAATTTTTCACCTAAATTGTGATTTAACTTTGGTTCAAGCAAGCTATCTTTCATAATAATTTTAGTTCTCATTCTTCTATTATTAAGCAATTGACTAGGAGACAAGTCAATATCCGTTAACGGAATGTTATTGTAATTATAAATTGCTATTAAAACTTTATTGAAATTATCGCATTTCTTCATCATATTTTTAACTATTCCTACAGCTTTCTCTGCAAGACCATTCGACTGTGCATAACGAGGACTTGAAGTGACTATTTTAATATCCCACTCCTGGGCAAAACTTCTACATTCAAATGAATTAAACGGCATGTTGTCTGCAATAATAGTCTTTGGAAAGCCGTGTTCTGTAAAAATCTCAATGTATTTCGAAATTACAGCGTTCGAATTCTTCGAACTTAAATATTTACACGAAATCCATTTTGAAAAGTAATCAATAACAACAAGATAACTCTTTCCGCTGTATTCAAGGATGTCACATCCGACTTTCTCAAATGATCGAAAGGGAATCTCGTGTTGAATTATTGGTTCCTTTCTATTCGATTTCTGAAACTTGTTGCACTCTTCGCAACTCTTAATTAAATTCTCTATACTAACATTTAGTGAAGGCCAATAAACTGATTCTTTCGCGAAACGTAAGGTTTTAGTAATTCCCATGTGACCTTCATGAAGATCTTTAAGAACATTTTCTCTCAATGATTTGGGAACTATTATTCTATCCTGATAAAATACTAAATCATCCGAAACATAAATTTCATTTCGCAAATTATAAAAGAATTTTATTTCATCAGGTACTTTTGATTTGTCTGACGGCCAGCCCTCAGCAAAGTATTTCTTTAACAACGAGCATTCTTTATCTTTATCTGTCTCAGCTTGATAGATTTTTAGTTTATCATCACTAATATTCACTGAATGAATCATTTGTTTCATGAAATTCTCTTCAAAATCTACAGCTATCAAATTATTTGAAACGTATCGAGATAAGTAATCTGCTACAGGAATGCTTTTACCGGGCTTGTACTTCAAATCTAAATCATATTTGTGTAACTTTAATCGAATACGCTGCAAGCGTTTTGATCCTATCTTACTAATATCTTTATTAATTATGCTTTCTAAAGGACGATGGTCAGATATTATAGTAACTTTCCTACCATAAATATAATTGTGAAACTTTTTGCACGCAAAGAAAACGGCTAAAAATTCTTTTTCAATCTGACCGTACTCCTTTTCTGTTTCAGAAAGACAACGTGAAGCAAAGCTAATAATTTTATCTCCTTGTTTTAAACATGCACCTAAACCGTATGACGAGGCATCGGTTTCTAAAATTATTGGCATATTTTCATCAAATGTAGTACATGAGGTGACGTTTTTTATTACTTCTTTAATGCTGTCAAACTCAGCTTGATGATTATCAAGCCATAAAAATTCACTATCCTTCTTTAACAAATTACGTATATTGACTGTTAAAGAAGGTAAATTGGGAATGAAGTCCCTTATATAATTAACTATTCCTAAAAACTTTTGTACGTCTTCCAGATTTTTAGGATTTGGAATACTATTAATTGCTGAAATCCTTTCTGGATCAACATCTACTTTATTCTTAGAAAAGATATGGCCAAAGAATTTTACTGTGTGAATTGTAATTTCTTCTGATTGAATTTCACACCAGACTTTAATGCCCTG